TGCTAGGCAAGTGCTCTACCACTGAGGTGCACCCCTCGCTCCGCTGCCATGTCTGTCCTCAACAAAAGCTGCTTTTCATGCTATGAGGTGCATCTCTAGGGCAGCTATCCAGGGGCCCCTCGTGTCCAGGGATTTGGCTCAGCAGCAGAGAAGTGGGTGCTGGTAGGGCTGGGGAAGGCGTCAAGCAAGCCGATCCCCTCAGACTCCACATGTCTCCTCTGCAGCCTGATGTTTCCAGCCTTCTCCCCAGGCACCTGCCCCTCTGAGTGTCTTTCTTAGGTCTTTCCTATTCTTTTGGAAAATATCTGAGAGACCTTATACTTGGCTGAAAACACAGGGTCCTTTGTGACCAATACTCACGTGAACAAGATCAGAACTGTTTTTCCTTTCGGCCTTTATTTGGAAGCAAAATCAGGAGGGAAAGAAGTGAGTTGAACAGGAACAGGGGACAAAGCACCWCTTGTTGAGGGGGGCCTCTCTTGGTCGGTTCAGCTACTGTAACAGAATACCCTAGGGTAATTTATTAAGAACAGAGGTTTATTTTCTTACAGTTCTGGAGGCTGTGAAGTCCCAGAACATGGTGCCCACATCTGGGAAGGGCCTTGTGCTGTATCATAATGTGGTGAACGGTCACAGACAGTGGGGAGCAAGAGGCCAGAAGCCAGGCAAGCCAGACCTTTCCTCAGGAACCCATTCTTGAGATAATGGACTCAGGGCCATGATGGCAGCATTAATCCACCAGTAAAGGTGACACCYATTGGTCACCTCCTGAAGGTCCCAATAGCATTGCAATGGTAACTCAATTTCAAAGGAGTGTGGGGGACATTCACACTTCAACAGGGCCTGAGTGGCTGCAGGAAGCCCTACGGGAAAGAGGGAAGATCCTCTGGCTTACAGTCCCCAAGCTGGGTGAGGAAGGGTGTCCTGTATTGGGGGTCATCCCCTCAGACACAGGCCTATTAGGACACTGGGGTCCCTTGCGCACTGGTATTCCTTGAATGGGATCCTCAGATGTAYTCTCAGAGATCTGTAAATTCTCTACAAGATTTTTAATTTGGGGGTTTTCAAGTCTATGACAATCTGAAGAATCAACAATAATCTCATCTAGCCAGGAGCCATGGAACACACCTGCAATCCCAGAGACTTGAGAGGCCAAGGCAGGAGGATCACAAGTTCAAGGCTTTTTTTGGTACCAGGGACTGAACCCAGAGTTCCTTGACCAATAAGCCACATCCCYAGCCCTTTGTATTTTTTTATTTTGAGACAGGGTTTCACTAAGTTTCTGAGGCTGGCCTTGAACTTGTGATTCTCCTGCCTCAGCCTCCCCAGTTGCTGGGCTTACAGGGGTACCTCCCATACATTTTTAAAATTATTAAGTATTTGATGATAGAAAAAAAGCCCATACATTTGTTATAAGCTGTAGYAAAACAATCATCCTAAGCCCACTACTAATTTATAAATCATGAACATCATCCACATCACTGAAATTAACTGCCCCTTCTCCTGGTTCTCTGCCTCCTCAGAACAAGTGGGGTCTGCCCCCTTCCCAGGCCTAGTAGACAGTCCCCAGGGGTGCTGCCAGAGCGTCTACCATGAGCTTAGTGTCGGCCAACCCCAGCAGGCCTCAAGAACTTGATCATGAGAGTCACGTGGATGGGAGACAGGACAGAGGCTCAGAAGGAGCAGAGACAAAGCAAGATGGTAGGATTTGAATCCCACCTCTGCTTTACTAGTTCTGTGACTCAAAGCAAGTTACTCAACCGAGCTGCGCCTGTTTCCTGTCTGTAAAATGGAAATAATCATAGGACCAATTTCCTAGGATTGTTTGTGGATGGTTCAGCAAAGCATGGAACAAAGCTTGGCAGGTAAGAAGCACCCAGAAGGTGCCAGCGATTGTCACTACTGAYGCTGCAGCATGAGAATTGCAGGACTGCTGACCAGGAGGCAGGAGACCAGAGGAGGGGCACTGACCAGGTGCTGGCGCTGGACACACCTTGGGAGACTTTCACCTCACCATGGGGTGCAGAGGCACAGAGGTAGCTCTGTCCTTTGGCCCCAGCCCTTGATTCCCTGGGACTGTCCCCTCTGGAACCCAGGTACCAAGGCAGGCAGGGGCATCCTTGAGTTGCTGGGAACTGTCCCAGGAAACGCAGCACCTCCAGGAGGGGACTGAGGACCTGACACCTTAACCTGGGTTTCAGCCCTGGCAGCAGGCCCAGCTGGGGAGGGCACAATGGAACCATTTGAATGTCTTTTAAATACATAATCTGGGCTTAGATGCCCATTCACTTGACCTTTGTCCGTTCTTGCCTGGAACCACTTTAGTACGAGTTAATAAATACTGGAGGAAATGTTTAAGGCCAGGCGGAGTTTGGGTTGAGTCTCCGTAGGAAACAGTATTCCTTGAGGAGAGAGCTTTGTGCCCAGGGGACCCAAGGACTATTGGCCTGAGATATAAGCTGTACTAAAACCTGCTAGAAACCACATCCAAGGGCTGGGGTAGAGCTCAGTGGTAGAGTGGCTTGTCTAGCATGTGCGAGGGCCTGGGTTCTATCCCTGGTACAAAATAAAAACCCACAAAGGCACATTCTCAGGCCCCAACACAGCATTCCATGATTGGCAATCTTGGGGGACAGACCCAAGGATCTGCTTCCCAAGCCCCCACAGGATTCTGATATGCTCTGCAGGTAACACTCAGGTAGGGAAGGGAGCTGTGAGGCCCACACGCTGGCTCTGGCCCCAACTCCATCTGTCACCATCTGGAGGGGGCTTTTCCTTTGCCTCAGTCTCCTCATCTGGAGATTGAACATGACAGGATCTCCCTTCTCTCTCTTAGCTCAGGATTGATRTAAAAATTAGGAGATGATAAAGAAGCCAATTTTTCAGAAGTGTTAAATAAATGCCCCACAAAGAATATGAATGCCACCTCTCAAGTGCCCCCACCTCCATATGGATCTAAGAATGTCAAGAGAAGGGGCCTTTATTTTTCTTTTTGTGTGGWAGGGGGATTTAGCCCAGGGGCATCTATCACCAAGTTACATCCCAGACCTTTGTATTTTTTAATGAAACAGGGACTTAAGTTGCCCACGCTGGCCTCAAACCTGTGATCCTCCTGCCTCAGCTTTCTAAGTAGCTGGGATCGCAGGTGTGCATCAGCCTACCTGGGGGGAGCAGGGGTCTTCATGATTTTTCTTCATTTTGTGTGAAACTGAGTAAAGGTCCCATTTCCTGGAAAAAAGACCATTCAGATGCCGAAGTCAAGACAGGCTGGTGGCCTGTGAACCTACTTAAAATGGCAAGGACTTCCCAGTAGCCCTTGGATAAGGAAGGGCAATGGCACCAGGAGCCAGAGAACTAAAAATAGCCAAGTGCTTGCCTGGCCTGCACCTAGTATGTTCCCCCAGGGGTTTTCCACTTTGCTAATGAATAATGGACTCTGACCATAGGAGCAAATGCTCAGGAGGGAAGGGCCGGCTTCTCGGTGCTGGGTATCTCAGGCCACAGGGGGAGGTAAGGCAGGCGCCATCAGGACCTGAGCATTGATCCCTACGGCTGCTTCTCTGCCGTCCTGTCAATCCTGACAGGACCTCCACCAGCTACTTCTTAACCCAACCCATCAAAGACTGAGGCAGGAAGTGAAGTGACTTTGCCCAAGCGGGGAGAGGTGGACTGAGATTCAAACCCAAGTATGTGTGATGCCAGCACTTGGCAGGGACATCTCACAGGGGGACACAGCAGAATCACAGGATCAGGGACACAAGAGTCACAGGACAGTGGCATTTGAGATGCATCATAGAACATGATGGAAAACTCAATATTTTTCTTTTTGGTACTGGGGATTGAAACTAGGGTCTTGCATATGCCAGGTAAGCAGTCTGCTAGAGAGCTACGTCATTTTGAAAGTTTTTTTTTTTTTTTGTACTTGTAGATGGACAGCAGGCCTTTATCTTATTTTTATGTGGTGCTGAGGATCAAACCCAGTGTCTCACACATGCAAGGCGAGGACTCTGCCACTTAGCAACAGCCCCAGCCTTAAAGTATTTCCTTTGAGAGAGAAGTTTGCTATGTTGCCCAGGTTGGCATTGAACTTTACTCTGGGCTCAAGTGAGCCTCCAGGAGCCTCAGCCTTCCAAGTGGTGGTGATGTCTGTGCATGGTGACTGCATTTAAAACCTCTGAAATGTGCACTTCAAAAGATTAAGATGTCAAATCTTGAGTTATGTTTCTTTTGTATTCTAGGAAATTGGGAAAACATTTTTAAAGGCTTCAAAGGTGGAACCCTTGAAGTTGGTGCATGTTTCTTCTAAGACCTGTTCTTGCTGGTGCCTCAAGTCCTCAAGAGATGGCAGCAGTGTGGGGGACCAGCCTGTGTCGGCAGCTTTTGGTCTAGTCTCAGCAGTTAAGGTCAAGGCTTGCCTTCTGCTTCCGCTTTTCTGGAAACTGATGTTCTCACTGATCAGATGAAGGAAATGGGGCCCAGACAAGCAAGGTGGCCCCGGAGCAGGGCTGGGGTGACACCTCTGTCCTCATCCCTAGCCTTCCCACCCCACACATCACCAGCAGTTGGCTCCCAAGGGGCCAGTCAGGTGGGACATTTCCTTGGTGACTTGACCTCTACATCACAAGGCGGTCCTCTGGAATTCTTTGGAAATATCACTTTGTTCTGATGGGATAAGGAATCTGCAGGGTGCGTTGGCGGTACAGAAACATCAACGCAGGAAACTGAATTAAGTTTCATTTATTCTAGGGCAAACTCAAAAGGGTTTTTTTTTTGTTTGTTTTCTTTTTTAGCAAATCCTAGCACATTATTAACAAAAAAAATCTGTACATTTGCCATGATACACTTGAAAGTGAAACAAATAAGATATAAATACAGATATGGATGTAACATGAAAAAGCCCAAAAAAACCCAAACAAAACAAAACACCCAACCAGGGTGTGGGGGGACCATGCGCGTGAACACAGTGCCAAAACTATTTTGGTGGCTGATATTTTTCAGAGCATTTCTTTTCTCATTTCCAAACATTGTTAGCAGAGTCTTGGGGTTCTACAAAGTCCTTATTTGCTGTCTTTTAAAGTGTAATATTATGCTTGATAAGTAAGGGTGGCAGGGAAAGAAAAGGGTTGATGAGACAAAATCATCTGCATTACCTGGGGGGCTGGGAAGCTAGTGTGAGCCACAGAAGAGGCTGCAGGTGGCCCCCTGTGGCACCGGGTCCAGAAGCACACRCAGTGCACTTGAAGAAAGCCGCGTGCCTCAGGGACCGGCCACACCTGCAGGACTGTGGTCTGAGGAGGGTGGCAGCAGCTTTCAGGGAAGCAGAGTCAGATGAACCAGCCCCTAGCCTGGGGCAAGAGAGCGTCTGAGGAGGCCCTGGACAGTCAGGCAGATGGGAGGCAACAGTTTTTGCTCTGCTCTGGGGTGTCCCATGGTTTCATCTGAATAGGAGCCCTGCAGAGGGTGGCGGCAAGGCAAGGCAGCTGCGCTGTCAGGGTTTGGAGGGCAGCCGGCGTGGACACAGCCACCCTGGTGAGGTGGTGGCGGCATGCGAGTCTCCTCGGYGTGGCACGGTGGGCAGCGATTTTCAGATTGAGGCCAAATGACCTGTGAAGTGATTGTTCTCTGTCTCTAGTCAGGAGATTGAAGAGGGCGCAAGTGACATTCAAGGCTAGCCCTTTGTAAGTACGGGAGGACATCAGGCAATGTTCGAGAGCCTTCCAACTACACTGGGGGTGTGGTGACCTTTTGGAAGCCAAAGAGCTCCAAAAGAAGGGTCTGACTGATTAGGTGTAGGAGAACCCATAGAGAAGACCTCACCAGGACGGGTTTCCACACAGAGGGGCGACCAACAGATGCTGGGACTCAGGAGAGTATAAAAACGAAATCCCATTAATGAACTATTAACAAAYAAGCAAACACACGAACAGTATTTATCATTGAAAGTAAGGCCTGGTCCTGCTGTTTTGAGCCAAAGTCAGTCAATAATAGTCAACCACTTAGATGCACCCCTCAAGTTCCCTAAGCAGCAGCAGTGGGGTACCTGACACCTGATAAGATATCCCCTACACACACACACCTGGAAATCAGGGGGTCTTCATACTCAGTGTCTGTTTCCAAATATATTACCTATCTTTCACAACTTCCCCCGTCAAATCTAGAGGGCCAGAGAAGGGGGTGGTGGGAATGGGGGATGAGAAGCACACACTCCGGTGCCTCAGCCTTGGTTTCAGTCCTCACAGCTGCAGAGGACTCTGCACTGGGACAGCCAAGACCTCACTAAAATTAATGTCCAAGGAAGCACTTTCCTTATGGAGGGTCAGTTCAATCAGAGGATCTAACAGTAAGTGATGGCAGATGATTTCATGATTGCATTAGACTGCCATCTGGCTTAAGAACTTTACTCAAGACTCATTTCTTTGTAGCAATTGCACCCTAAAGAACTTAAAAAGGGAGCCGGTGGTTTCCCTGGGAAGGAAACAGACTCTAAAGGTGTGTTTCAAATCCTGTAGTTCTGCCATCTGCCGCTCACCTTGAACAGTGACTAACAATCAAGGAAGTACTTCAACTTATAAAATTAAAAATGATTTGGATAAACATGATTTTTCTACACTTTTTTTTTTGTTCTTAATCTCAAATTACATAGAGAAGCCAAAACTGGGCTGGTAAAGTAGGCGTTTGCTAGATTAGCTGAGAACATTTTAGAACTGAATAGCTTAGGCAAAGCTGATGGAGAGGGAAGGGAGATGGCACCAGATTTGAATCACTGACCCGGGGAGTCCTGGGAGAATCCCTATCTCAACAGCCATTCCCCAAGACCTTAGCAGGGAGAGAGACAGATTTATACCTTCTGTGCATCACATGACGGGATCCATCTCTGACGGATGCGATCAATTATAAGTATGGTTGGACTTATACTTCAAGAATTCTTCTGGCATGGCAGCTCTGGGGCAGGGACATCTGACGAGTTGTTCAGAGGGGCCTTCCTGACTCTGTGTTCAAAGCCACGACAGCTGGCTCCATTTTGCGTGAGCTAAGTGACAGACCAGCTTCCAGCTCTTCTCCTTTTCCTGCTAAGGCTTGAGTTCCACTTTTAGGAGGTCTCAAAACCAACCTAAAGACATGCACCCTTTCTTGGTATCAGATGGGAAAAGGGTAGGGGGCTTCGCCTCACACAGGCCGTTTCATAAGAATGTAAGCTGAGAATAAGAAACACCCCCACATCCATTATAAATTGAAAAAAAAAAAAAAAAAAGCTACTGTCTACCAAGCATTGGCTAGAGAGCTCTGATTGTTAAAAACTGTACCCCACATACATGATTTTGGGATTGCAACAGGCGGTACAAGACGTGTGTAAGTATGGCTCTTGTTGTTCTCATTCCTTTCGTCTCTACGAAGACTGCGATACAGGCCTTGCTTCCGTTACATTCAATACCAGTAAGATTCTACACAAAAGCTGGAAGGGACCAAAATACTGATTGTAATAAATATGTGCGGGCCTCCTCGTACTGACTGGGCAGCCGATGGGGGGTCTGAGGCACCACCGATGGYGTCTGACTCTGCACAGAGACTGGCACTGCCACTAGCTGTGCGTGGAGACGTCGGAGGAGGAGCTGCTGTTGCTGTTGGTGGTCTGTGCCCTCTTTATGTATAAGTTTAGTAGCTTCATCTGCAGAGAGAAGACACACTGAGTTAGGAGGAAAAGCAGGAGAGAGGGAAAAAAAAGAAAATGAACCACCCCGATGACCACCAGACAACAGCCTGCCCCTATTCCCCTACAGGGAACCTGTCACACGGACTTCCAACTCAGTGTTCCACTGATCACGTGCACCTGCAGGTGCTGGCCATAGCTGGGGAGGCGCTCAGGATCTCGAGGAGCAGGGAAAAGTAGTGGGCTATCACAAAAGAAGGAAGGTGTCACAACAGGCCACTGGGGCTTGGAGACCAAGTTCTCCACGGGGCAGGCTACATGTTACCATGACAGCTGCAGCCCAGTGGCTCCTTTAGCACTCAGATGGACAAGAGTGAGAACAGGAACAAGGACAAGGCTCAACTAGAGGTCAAGTCTGTGACTCCCACACTGTGCTCAAGTTCTCCCTTTCTCTAGCACCCCTCCTGCCTAGGACACCTGCTGCCACCTGAGGCACCGRAGTCCTATCTTAAATGCCACCCCACAAAACCTTGTTCTGATTAGAGTCTGGATGGGTTCATCTTCCTTCAAACTCTGTGGCTCTAGCTCCTCATTTGAACTCACTGTAGATGGGCTCACATACAGGTTGTGTGTGTATGTATGTGACAGAGAGAGAGAGAGAGAGAGACAGACAGACAGAGAGGAGGCTTGCTTGTGCCCTCACACAAGATTAGACCTCTGAGGTGCTATATAGCATCACAAAGTAACTCAGATGGACAGAATACTTAGCAATGCAAGGCCTTGAATATCTGTAATCTCATCTGCTTTCAACTGAAGTCCCTTTAGGTTCTTTTTTTTTTTTTTTAGATTTTTTTTTTGAGAGAGAGAGAGAGAGAGAGAGAGAATTTTTTTTTAATATTTATTTTTTAGTTCTCGGCGGACACAACATCTTTTGTTGGTATGTGGTGCTGAGGATCGAACCCGGGCCGCACGCATGCCAGGCGAGCGCGCTACCGCTTGAGCCACATCCCCAGCCCCCCTTTAGGTTCTTAAAACACATAAAACTTCAGATGACATTGTAGGTACTTAAGAAATGCTTGCTGAATGCTACTAAATTAATCTATTGTGCACAGAAGCAGCATCACAGGAATTATGAAAAACTTTCTGTCCACAGCCCTGTATCTGTCTCACTCTAAGCAGGCTATGGGGCCGAGACCAGCATAAACCTGCCCAGGGGAAGGACCTGATCTCCAGGATGACCCTGAAGCCAGGCTCATGGGAATGCGCGGGTGCGTGAGCAATGTTATGGAGCATCGAGCCCTGGAGGCCCTGCGCCCACCCCTAAAGGGGCCATCTGCTGGGGTGCATCCTCCTACATCCTGACTTAGAAACCTGGACATGTTATCTACATGGAGATGGGACACAGGGTATGCTGCGTCAGGCAAATGGAGGGAGTGTGTGCTAAGTGTCACTCATTGGTCCACTCTGGGGTCTCCCCGTGGCAGGGTGTGCGCTGTCTTCCTCTTAACCATGTTAAGAGCTAACTTTATGCTAGCTTACACTACACACCATGGTTGGTTTTTGGTCCCTTCTTTTTTATTTTTATTTTTTGTAGTTGTAGATACACAGCCTGCCTTTATTTTGTTTGTTTACTTTTATGTGGTGCTAAGGATTGAACCCAGCAACTCACACATACATGCTAGGCAAGCACTCTGCCACTGAGCCCCAGCCCCAGCCCCCTGACTTTAATTTAATTTTGTTCTTCTGAGGTGCTAGGGATGAAACCCAAGGTATTGCACAAACCAATATGTCCTGAGCTGCACCCCTAGCCTTTCCCTGCCTTTTACACTCTTGAACTTCACTACAGTGGGTGGTGCTATGACGACAAGTGTCACCACTCACAGGGACTTTAATGCTTAAGGCWCAACAGATCCAGCAGAGTTCTAGAATCAACCCCACCATTAACTACTTGTGTGACCTTGGGCAAATCCGTTTCTCACCTCAGATGCCACCTGCAAAATCAAGAGCAACGAGGACACTTGCAGTGTGTTGTCTGTGATCTGTGAGGAGACTGTTCCCCCCATGCCTTCCTATTCCTACTGGAGCTGCTCACATGGTCCCTCCTCCTCCCCCTTCACACACCGGGGCCCCATCCTGCAAGCCTAGCTCGGTTCCACTTCCCTCCTGCTCCAGTGGCCTGTCACCCCACCCTCGGGGCCTGTCCCATTGTGTCTTCTAGAGGCGGCTCATTCCTGGGCTGCTGTTCAGGTTTCCCTGTGTGTCAAGTGTGTCCCCCAGCTGCATCTTCTGTCCTTCCGAGAGGCAGGGCAAAGCCTCTGCTCTTCCCGCACCTTGGCTCAGTGTGGGGAGAACAGTCCCCAGTACACACTTGTTGGAGTAAAGAGTTAAAGGAAAAAAATAAGATCTGGAAGACAAGATAGTTATAGTTCTATGAAATCTGATTATAAATGAATTTAAACACTCTTATCCATATTTTCAACTCAAAAATCACTATCGTCTCCCGTTAGTCAGATCTAGAATGCAATCATGGGGCTGGGGATGTGGCTCAAGCGGTGGCGCGCTCRTCTGGCATGCGTGCGGCCCGGGTTCGATCCTCAGTACCACATACAAATGAGGATGTTGTGTCCGCCGAAAACTAAAAAATAAATATTAAAAATTCTCTCTCTCTCTCTCTCTCACTCTATCTTTAAAAAAAATAGAATGCAATTATGAGGAAAGAGCATTAATAAGAGTTCGTAACGTGCATGTGTTCGATGGTTTACGGGGAGCTTTTACACTGATTGTCGTATTGAGCCTTACAGAAATCCTCTAACACGGCAGAACAGATTCTCTTCTCTTACAAAAGAAAAGGCCAAGGTTCAGGAGGCTTGCTGGATAAGCTGGTTTAGAGTCGACTCTAACTTTAGGATGTTAAATGTAATTGCCACGACAACAAAGGAAACAGCTATAGAATATACACAAAAGGAAATGAGAGGGGATTCAAAATATTTCACTACAAAAATTTAAAAAACCCAAAGATGACAGTAATGTGGAAAATGAGGAACAAAGAGCTCACAGTAAAATGCCAGAAGTCCTTCCTGATCAGTAATAACTCTAAACGTCAGCAGATTAAACCCTCCCATCAAGACACAGATTGGCAAAATGGATGAAAAAATCTGATTCAACTATATGCTGCCAATAAGAGACTCAGTTTAGATCCAAASATAAATGGGTTGAAAGTGGAAAAGACGTTTATGCAAATAGTAACCAGAGAGAGCAAGAATCAGAAAAAAACAGATCTTAAATCAAAAGAAGTTGTAAGAGAAAAAGGAGGATAATAGATGGTTGAGGGAGAGTGGGCGGGCCAGGGTGAGGTGAGGCCCTCCAGGAGGAGAGGCAGGCATGCGGGCCATGCCTGGGCACCCAACCCAGGACGTGGCCATCTCCTGGAGCCTCCGCAGTTCCTTCGAGGTCAGCTGCCCCCAGCAGTGGGTGAGGCACTGTGGTGAAAATCACAGTATCCTGGCAGCTGGACTGGGGCGTGAGGAATTCGTGCAGACACATTAGGGAGCTACTGTGGGGTGGCGGCCCAATATAAAATATTTTGATAAAATATACTACTTAAAATTCTAGGACAAATCTGAAGCAGGACAGTTCCAGCTTTCCGAATCAACTACAAATTCCTAGGCATTTACTGAAATTTTCACAAATGTTACAAATATTCTTTGTGGATATTAAAAAATGCTCTGTTGATTCTGTGACAGTATTAGTTTGACATGGCGTACACATCAGTCTTTGTTCCCTGTGTACTTCACAATGAAATCAGACAAGTAACAGAGGATCCATGTTTCAACCAGRAAGACTTGAAGTACAGTGGTTTAAATAGGACTAGTTCTAATTTGGTAAGAAATTTATTTTAAGAAACAATTAAAACCAGCTATGAACCGCGCGCGTGCGCGCGCGCGCGCACACACACACACACACACACACACACACACACACGATTGAATGCAGCCAGGCACAGTGGTGCACACCTATAACCCCAGTAACTTGGGAGGCTGAGGTGGAAGGATCACAAGTTTGAGACCAGACTCAGCAATTTAGTGGCCCTGAGGACTTAGTGAGACCCTGTTTAAAAAAAAAAAAAAACATAAAAAAAGAGCTGAGGATGTGGCTCAGAGTTAAGTGACCCTGGGTTCAATCTCCAGATAGACAACAACGACAAAAAAGTTTAGTACAGCAAGAAGATAAAATAATCTTAAGCATTTACTATATAATAAGAGATTATCTAAATATATGAAGCAAAAATGGATACAACAGATAGTTCTACAGTAACAGTTGGGGACTTTGATAATTCACACTCTCAATATTGGTTAGAATGATGAGACAAAAGACAAGGAAATACAGGACTTGAACAACACAATAAACCAGATCTAACAGACCGAGCCCAAACTCTCCACCCAACAATGGCACACACATTCTCCTCAAGTGCATGTTTCCCAGTGTAGACCAAGCGTTGGGCCACAAATTCTCAGCAGATTCTAAGAGATATCATAAAAAATATCCTCTCTAACCATAGTAAGATGAAGTCAGAAATAACAGAAGGAAAACTGAAGAACTTATAAATTTGTGGAAATCACCTTTAAAAGTCAGTGAGTCAGCTGAGTGTGGCGGGGCACACCTGCCACTCGGGAGCTGAGCTGGGGGATTGAAAATTAACTGCCAGGGCAACTTAGCAAGAGCCTGTCTCAAAATTAAAAAGGGCTGGGGATGCAGCTCAGTGGTGGAGAGTCCCCTTTAAGGCAAAACAAAAACCCAAAAAAGCCCCACAAGGTTCATTCAAAAATATTTTGAGAGAAATGAAAATGAAAGAACACCCAGCATTCCAAGTTTCCGTCTAGGGGAGGGTAGAGCTGTGAATGCCTGAACAAGCTTCAAATCAACAAGAGCTACACTGGATCCAGGAGAGGAAGATAATACAGGCAGAGCAGAGACGAAAGAGAACCGAAAAATAATAGGAAAAATATTATAGATGAAACTAGAAGTTGGTTTTTTGAAAAGATCAACAAAGTTGACAGATTTTTAACTAGGTGGACTAAGGAAAAAAAAAGATGCAGATTATAAAAATCAGAAGTGAATGTGGGTACATTATGACTAATAATGGGAATAAGAAGGGTTATAGGAATATTATTAATAATTATACACCCCAAACTGGATAATCTAGATGAAATGGATGAATTTCTACAAACAACAAAAACAGAATCACAAAGAAACTCTGAACAGACCTGTAACTAGTAAGAAGTAGTCAAAAAAATCTCCAAAAAGTAAAAGCCTGAACCAGATGACTTCACTGGTGAATTCTTCCAAACATTTAGAATCTTCCTCAAATTTTTCCAAAACACAGTAGGGGGAAAATGCTTCTAAACTTATACTACAATGTCAGCACTGCCCTAATAACAAAACTACAGATGATATCTCTAATGAACACTGATGAAAAATTCTCAACAAAGACTAGCAAATAGAATTCAGCAGCAAATTTAAAATATTATATACAAAGACCAAATGAGATATATTGATTTATTCCTGGAATGCAAAAAATGGCTCAACTTATAAAAAATCATCGTAATATACGATGTTAACAGAATAAAGAAAAAAATGTGACTATTTTTTAAAAAAATATTTATTTATTTTTAGTTGTAATTGGACACAATATCTTTATTTTATTTATTTTTATGTGGTGCTGAGGATCAAACCCAGGGCCTTGCACATGCTAGGTGAGTACTCTACCACTGAGCCACAATCCCAGCCCCAAGATGTGACTATTTTAACTGGTGCAGAAAAACATCTGAAAAATATAATACCTTCCATGATAAAAACACTCAAAACTAGGAATAGAAAAAAACTTATCTTGACATATTAAGCCATATATAAAAAACTCACAGCAAAAATTATACTCAATGGTGAAAGACTGAAAACTTTTCTAAGATCAGGAACAATGTAGGGACTCTTGTTCTTACCACTCCAACACAATACTAGATGTTGTAGCCACAGCAATTAGAAAATAAAATAAAAATAACAAAGTAAAGGCATCTAAGTGAGAAATGAAGTAAATCTTCTTTGTAGATGATATTACTTTTATGTAGAAAACCCTAATGATCACACACACATAATCTGTCAGAACTGTTAGAAATTAATTCAGCTGAGACGGTACAAAAATCACCAAGCAAAATAATGTTCAAGTTGGGGTGATGGCTCAGTGGTTGAGCACTTGCCTAGCATGTGTGAGGCCCTGGGTTCCATCCTAGCACCATAAGAATAAATAAATAAAAATTCCCCTCCACTAACAATGAACAACCCCAAAAGAAAATTAAGAAAATGTTATGTATAATAGCATAAAAAAACCTGAAATATTTAGGAAATTACTTAACCAAGGAGGTAAAAGACTCACACAATTAAAACTACAATATGCTGCTGGGACAGTGGTACACGCCTGTGATCTCAGCTAATGTGAAGCTTGAGGCACAAGGACCACAAGTGGAGGCTAGCCTGGGAAACTTAGTGAGACCCTGTCTCAAAATAAAAATAAATAAAGGCTGGGTATATAGCTTGGTGAGAAAGTACATTCCCAGAATGTGTGAGGCCTTGGGTTCAATATCCGGTACCCCAAAAACCAAACCAAACCAACAAAAACGTACAAAATGGTGCTGAAAGAAATGAAAGATTATGCAAAGAAGTGGAAAAATATCCCAGGTTCATTGGACTAGAAGACATTTGATGTCAATATTACTCAATAAGATTGATTATGTGAATGATATATAGATTTAATGCAATATATCAAAATTCCAAAGAGATTTTTTTGCTGAATTAGAAAAACCAATCCTAAGATTCACATAGAATGTCAAGAGATCCCAAATAGTCAAAAGACCTTGAAAAGAACCAATCTGGAGGACCCATACCTCTGGAATCAACTTAGTACAAAGTTACAGTGAACAAATCAGGGTGGAACTGGCATAGAGACATACAACAAGGAGACAGAATACAGAGCACACAAGTGAACCTTCGCAGAAGGTCGAACAATTTTTGACAAGGTGACAGGATTATTCAACAAGGAGAGGATAATATTTTTAACAAATGATGCTGGGAAAAGAGGTATCTGCATGTCAAAAGAATGAAGTTCAACACTTCCCTAATACAAATATACAAACATTAACCCCAAGTGGATGGACCATTCAAAATGGAACAACCTGAGCGTCAGAGCTTCCTGAGTCTAAAACACTCTTAAAGGAGTGTAAGTGGCAGCAGAGTGAAAATCCAGGTCCTGGAGTCCAACCTCTGTGTGCCCTTGAGCAGGCCAGAGAGGACAACCATCCTTATCTCACAGGGATGTCATGAGGAACACAAGTGAAAGCATGCCAAGAGTGTGGACCAGCTCCTGGGGCAATGGTGGGCACCAGGCAACGGCCACTACTACTGTCAATGCCCACAAAGGACTCCGCTCTGATTCAGCAATTTGTTAAGCACTTACGTAAATTTCCTTAGTGCTCCTGTGAGAAACCAAGCTGGTTTCTGAATAAAGTTGTCTTTCTCCAGGGAGTAAAATAAAAGTTAATTTATTTTGCAAAAGCAGGAGTTAAAATAGATGATGATGTATCATGTTAGCATTCTCTTAAAACTTCATTACATGGCTGGCCATTTTCATCTTAAAACATGCTTTTTGAGAAATAAGGCCCAGCTGAAACACACCTGATGAGAAGAAGCAGTCTGGAGCCCAGAGCCACCACAGAGCAGGCTCACGTCAAGCTGGCAGGGCCCAGGTGTGGGTGTCAGCTAGGTAACACTGTACATACCTTGCTCCCCGTGAGCTGTGCGAGGTGAGGTTTCAGGTCTTCTCCGATTACGGAATAAATTGCCACTAAGCAAAACACGCTGGCCTTCCGCACGCTGCTTTCCGTGTTGTCATAACCCTAGAAGCCAAGGGGGACACAAAAAGGAAATCAGATCAAAGGCTTGCTTCATAGTTAATGCCTCCGCAACACTTCCACCAACACCCTCATATTTCAACCCTGGACGTGTCAGTCACCATCAGGACCTACCTAAAACCTGCAACTGAATCCCGAGGGTTTTCACCTGAAAGGAGTCAAAACTGACTTATGTTAAGAGTGACCTGGTGGGTGGGGTGTAGAGGGGCAAGAAGGGGTAAGTGCGATCTGTGTGCCACTACTAAAAAGATGCCATGACAGAGATGAATTGAGAAAGCAAAATTAAGGGAAAAAATACTGGTTTCATTCACACTTCTCACAATGTTAAAGCAAATTCATGTGTGAAAACACTGTTAAAAAGAAACGAGAGGGGCTGTGGCTCAGTGGTGGAGCGCTTGCCTCACATGTGTGAGGCACTGGGTTCCATGCTCAGCACCACATAAAAATAAATAAAATAAAGGCCTGCTGTCCATCTACAACTGCAAAAGAAAGAAAGAAAGAAAGAAAGAAAGAAAGCAAGCCTGCTGTCCATCTACAACTGCGAAAGAAAGAAAAGAAAGAAGGCCTGCTGTCCATCTACAACTGCGAAAGAAAGAAAGGAATGAATGAATGAATAAATGAGAACTACATCATTCACCATCATAGGTGAAAGCCATCTGTCCTCCAGTGATTGCTAGAGCTGCCCATGCCCCCGTGTGACGCATGCTCAGTTTCCCTGTCTGACTTATCCCTGCACCAAACCCAAATGGGCCTATCTGCTGGTCTCCAAAGAACCCTGGCGACTTTTCCACTTTCATGCCTTTCCCTCTGGAATGATCCAGTCCCCAACTAAGTATCCAAATTCCCACCAAACGCTCAGCCAACAGCGCATTTTTTAAATGGGAGGCTAGCTACTTAATAAATTCCTTTCTACCTTTACCCACAGAGATCCTCTCTCCCATCCCCACAAAATGGAAACCACTCCTCCACTGTGATGCAGCACATGACACTGTCACCTGTAGTAGCCATGTGGCTGCATCATGTCACATGACAGGCTGAAAGCCCCTGAGGTGGGGCCACACATGTCTCCTGCCTGTCAGAGGATGCCTAGTTCACTGCCTCCCACCTAGAAAAAGTAAGTGTTTATTGGGCATATGAAAGAAAGCACCCTGTCTGAGTCACACTCCTTGCCTAGGGCTGGGGCCACAGGAGGTTTGCAACAAGGATCTGATGAAGGAATGAACAAAAACAAATGATCAAAATATGTTTATCATAAACAGAAAGTCCATTCTGTGAGCCACAGTTCTGGGCTGCCAGGTGCCTACCTTCCTGCTGCACCAGAAGCGGGCAGACTAGAAGACGCAGGTCCTAAAGAGAGGGTTTCCGCCTGCAGTTTTCCTACCTGCAGGCCAGTGAAGGAGGGCAGCAAAGACCATGTGACCAGGGAGCAGCTCACCTGCAGCAAGCCTGGGATGATGTCGGCAAGGAGCTGCAGCAAGGACTCCTTAGCGATTCTCTCCACGACTTTGGTCTGCATCTTGATGGCGGCCAGGTTGATGGGGTAGTCGGCTGTCTGGATGATGGGGCAGAGCACTTTGATGCACTGCTCTGGGTGGATGGAACTGGCCAGTGTGGAGGCAGCCTCCTCAGCAGCTCGCACCACCTGAAACACCAGGTACCCAGGGTGAGCCTCATGTGCTCAAGAGGAGAAAGAACCCCACCGATGTTTTAGTTCAGAGGCCAACGACAAGGGTCTCACTGAATGCCAGAGGGCGGCCTCAGTTTCTCTAACACTGTCAAGGTGAAGCAGAGTGGTATGGAGGGCAATTTTCAAGAGGGGTGTTTTGCTAAAAACCTCAGAACAGTGGTTTTCTAAGAACGTCCTCCATCTCCAGCAGTAGCAGCATCCCTGGACCCCCACTGGAGGTGGGTCCCGCAAGCTGTGTTATTAAAGCCCTTCAAAGGTTCTTTTTAAGACAGGGTCTCACTATGTTGCCTTGAATCCCTGGGCTCAAGTAATTCTCCTGTCTCCACCTCCGGTGTAGCAGGGACTAGGGATGCACGCTGCCACGCCCAGCTTCCCTGGGTGATTCGTAAAACCAATGCTGCAGAATCTCTGCCCTAAATGATTAGAACTTAAAGATACAAATGCTCTCCCCAATGGCTAGTGGGACCCCACAGTGGAGTCACCAAAGAGAAGCCTGAAGGAAATCAGAGTGCCTTTCACCTGCTTCCTCCAAGGGGCTGAACCACAAGGTAGCTTGTTGGGCTTGAGAGAAGCCTCTGGAAGTGTTCCTGGGAGGCTCCCAGGGAAAGCTGCTTTTCTAGGAATGATGCCCTCTCACCTTGTACTTTTAACAAAGAGCATGAAATGACCACCTCATGGTCAGAGGAGCAGCCTCTGACCTGTRGAGAGCCACAAGACACTTTGATAATAAAGGGAACTAAGTGCAAAACTCAGTAAAAGGAGGGGGAGCATGCAGAAGATGTGGTAGGAAGAAAGAAGCTGGTTTGTGCTTAGGGATCTGAGGATCTCACCAGTCCCAAGCGCAAATACTGCACTTCCTCATCTGTAAAATGGGGGTATCAAATGAACGATAAGCGCTATTCAAGATAGTGCAGACACTAAGTAACTGATACTTCCTCCTATTAATAGCATGGAGTGTTTAACGTATGCACATTATGGAAATGATGTATGAGTAAAGTCACCAGACTAAAGGCATAGATGCATTTTCTTATGAAGTGCAATGAAAACCTAATACTTTTCTTTTAGAGCCTGCCTTGGACTGGGGATCCCAGTCCATTCTCTGCATTGTATTCTGCTGCTCAAAATAACTCAGGTCCATCTTTATATAGCGGCAAAAGAGAGCTACCAACCAGCCCAGTGCTTCAGGCACAGGTGACCCCTGAAAACAGACGGACCACCTGGAAAGCTGGCTCTACTTGTGGGCAGAGCAAAGAAGCAGTGCACAGAGCACGGGGGTGACCCAAGCCAAAGGGCAGATAGGCTAGATCTGGATCACGGGCTATACATGCTGTTTTAGTCACTCTGAGGTCCTGACAGAGGTGTTGCCTTTCACCTGAGGGTCCTCTCTCCAGCAGGATCGATTTGGGACTCCCCAGCTGTGGCCCAGTCCTGCGCCCATCCCGAGGGGGCACTGCTCTGAGAACAGGGCTCGGTTCAGGAGTGTGCCTCATTAGAAGTTGATATATTCAAGCTGCGTGTGTGTGGGGGCCACACTTGTAATCCCAGTGAATCGGGAAGCTGAGGCAGGAGGATAGCAAGTTTGAACCAGCATGCGCAATGCAGGGAGACCCTGCCTCAAAGTAAGAAATAAAAAAGACTGGGGTGTAGCTCAGTGGTAGGGAGCTCTTGGGTTCAATCCTCAGTACTGGACAAAACAAAACACCCCAAAATGACACATTTAGGACCGGCCAAGATTATAAAGGTAGATTCTTCACTATGAAGCTCCATATGGGCTCTGGCCGCTCATGCCCAGTAGCTGGCATTTATCATCCTAGAAACCTGGGGAATGTGTGAAAGCCTACCTTATGGCGCTGAGGCTACATGGACCTTTATTTTCTCTATACATTTTAGAATGCCTTCTTAGCAAGAAAACTACATTCATTCATAAAAATGTACCTGTGTCCCTTTCAGGACAGGAAAAGTGGCAGTCCTCCCAGCCCTGGTCCCACAGTGACATGCTGGAGAAGCAGGCAGACTCTTGGGCATTTGCCTGGACTGACTCCAAGCCCTGGCGTGGCTGAGGCAGTACTATCACTATTGTAATCACTCTAACTATCACTACCGTCCCAGACTACCGTCCAACGACCCTACTCCCCTCTGATGAGCTTGAACTCTTGCTGTCCCTCAGATGTGGCGGACACATGCACCCCTGCCCCTCTGAGGGTGTCCTTGACCATCTGACTGACAACACTTTCCCCTCCCGTTTTTCCCAGTCCTTCAGCCTGTGATCCTCACATGGCACTAGGGGCGCTCTACTTTACATTCTTGGTGACATTTCCATAAATGTTTCTTTTTACCAAATAGGCAGCATCTAGGATCTTCCACCTGTACCTCAGTGCACAGCGAGATGGATGTTGACAAGTTCAGTACATGTGATCAACTGAGCTTCATTCCCCTGCCTGCCTGAGGACATGTCCCTCTTCAAAGAAGCCCTACCTCCCTGAATTCTGATCTTCATGTTTCTTTCTTGTCAATGGCCTTTTGAACTTTTCTAGAAAGACTACATCCTTGCTGCACTTTCTACAGGCAGGAATCTTATGAGATGGGGTCATATCCTCACCCCTGGCCAATATTGGGCACACAGTGCACACACATGTAGAAGCCCACACTGGGATTGCGAATCAATCCCTTCAGGAGTTAAAGTGGAGTCCTGGACCAGCATGGTTTCACAGTAAATACCACACATGCACATCTAAAAAGAAAGCCCAAGCCTGACACATGTCTGTAATCAGACAGATTCAGGAAGCTCAGGCAGGGAGACCACAAGTTTGAGGCTAGCCTAGGTCACTTAGTAAGACCCTCTCTCGAAAATAAAACTAAACCAAACAAATAAAAAATAAGAAGGGTTGATGACACAATGGTAAAGCGCTTACCTTGTATGGTAAGCACCACAAAAAAATTAAAAATAAATGGTAAAGCGCTTACCTTGTATAAAACAAAATAAAGGAGGACACTAGCCAGGTAAGGTAGCACACACCTGTAATCTTAGCTACTTGGGAGGCTGAGGCAAGTGGATCCAAGTTCAAGGGCAGCCTGGTCAATTAGAGAGGCCCTATTTCAAAATAAAATTTAAAAAGAGCAGTGGGTACAGCTCAGGGGTAGAGCACTTGCCTAGCATGTATGAAGCCCTGGGTTCGATTCCTAGTGCCCCACCTGTCTTCTAATTGTAGCTTTTCCCACACAGATGTTCCAAAGCCAAGTGCTTTTTGGCCCTGTCCGTGTGCATGACCTTTCATTCGAGGAAGGCCTCCCCTTGGAACGGGAGGAGCACACGTTCAGCCCCTGCAKCGCAGCACACAGGCCTCAGTCTAGAGCTTTGGTAAGTGCTTGCTTGGTCTGAGCTTCAAATGTAAGCTCTGAGAGGGGGATTAAAACAACTCACTCTCAGTTATCTGCTGAGGAGAGAGAAGGGCATAACTCCCTTTGCATATTCTAGCTACAGCACATACGGCAGCTATAAGCCAGGGCTGGTAGGAGACCGCCACTAGCAGTGGAGTGTGGCAGCAGAGGTGCCACCCCAAGGCCAAGCACCACTCTGGGAGCTGTGGGGTATCGGAGAGCAGAGCTCCCTCCCCATGAGACTCCTCCAGAGGAGGAGTGAGGTGCCTACTAAGAAGCTCCATCCTCTGAKGCAATATTCACACTCAACATTCAACCTGAGGCCTGGGTCCTTTCCTGCCACACCCTGCCCAGCCCAGTCTCGCTCACATCCTTCACCTGGCTGCCCACGACTTCATTCAGAACTCATTTCCACAGAAGCCCAGGAAGTCCCATGTGCATATATTATCGTTGTAAACATCTTGCTGAAAACGCCTCTTTCACTGGATGAAAAGTTCCCTAAAGGCAAGGTCCCATCTTGGCCATCTCTAACCGAATTACCCCTCCTCAGTTGATGCAGGCCCCCAAGGCCGTTCTATGTCCACAGCACACCCGGGAGAGCCACATAGAGTGGACTGGCAAGAAGGACTGGCAGACAGCCCTTCTCCTCCCTACTGTGGGTCCACAAAAAGACAAGAGCTCTGAAGATACTGGTTTCCACTGTAACAAATCACCATTTATTGCAGTGTACTGGGCAGAAAGCTGAGGAACTTTTGGGCCTTTGTGTTTAAACTTGGTGGGGGGTGGGGAGGAAAGGGTCAGAAAGACACTGGATGATTTGGTTAGGAAACCTAAGTGAGAAAATATCGATACATAGGAACTGAGTCTAAGGTCCCCCAAAGGAGGTGGGAACCAGCTCAATGAGCAAAAAAAATGTGGAGACAGAGGGTGATTTAAGTCCCTAAGCCACTTTAGCCTTGACAGAAGCAAGCTAACAGTCTCCTGGTATCCTTCAGGGATGCAATGAGGATTAACGAGACTGGGCAACAAATGGCCAGGTTCACAGGGAGAACTCAGCCATGAAGTTCCCCTTCTCTCCCTCCCTCCACCTCCCATGCTCTACTGCTGTTCAGGTTGCAGTGATTTACTGTCCAGTGAGTGCTGAAAGACAGACTGCTTCAGAACTGCTGAGCTGAAACCCAAACTCAGGAGAACTTTCTCATGAAACTGCAGGGATTCAGCAGTGCCAGTGGCACAAGCCTGAAAACGCAGGGACTTGGGAGACTGAGACAGGAGGATCGGAAGTTCAAGGCCAGCCTCAGCAACTTAGCAAGAGTATGACTCAAGTAATAAAAACAGGCTAGTCAGTTTGTAGAGTCTTGCCTACCATGCACAAGGCCCTGGGTTCAATCCCCACCACCACCACCACCACCACAATAAATAAATAAATAAATGCGGGCTGGGGATGGCGCTCAGTGATAAAGTGCCTCTGGGTTCCATCCCCACAGTACTGCAAAACAAACAAACCCCCCACTAGGAACTGTACAGGGGCCCTACATGAAGCATTTCATCAAATGCATGGAACACAGAGGGTTTTC